TTATGGTGACTTATTTCTCATGTGTTTTATTATGTTTCCATTGTAATCTCTTATTGGGCTGATCTTAATCTGCAGGTACCATGAACCAGGCTCTCAGTCTTATAGAAACCAAAGCCTAGAAACAGGCTAGCCATTATCTCTCAAAACAAATGACTAATGCTCAACAGTTGCTGATAATTTTTACTCCAGGAAACCAACTGTAACTTCTTTTTCTCGTTAGGATTTACAAGGTGCTAAACTCTGCCTTCACTAATTACTGAGACCACTGGTTTCTATCATTATTAGGGACATAGAAACCAAATAGAAACCAAAACCAAGAGGCAGATCTGCTCTTATTTTTAGAGCAGGTTTCCCCAGGACAGCAATGATTATTACTCACTCTGAATATGAGCTTCAGCAGGACTTCCAGAAAGATGATATACTAACACAAGAACCCAATTAGACTATTCACTTGTTGATGGGGGGAAAATAAAGACGTTTTTCCCTAGATTTTGTGAGAATATTTCAAAAACACAAGACCCTGAGGAACTTTCATTGCCTATTCGATCCCAAGTGACTCCCAGTAAAACCATTTTCACTGCTATTTCATGATTATCATGACATTATTTTAGTGGGCTAACTGAATTTTTACTTCTGGAAGACCAAAGTACCTGTGAACAGGCTTATGGAAAATTGTAGAGTACTTTACATATACATCTGATCAATTCAGTTAATGAAAATCAGCTGTTCCTTCCAGGTGAAGGCAAACTGTTTTAATTGGCATGGATGTGCAGGGACCAAGGAAAATGTATGACTCAGGTCTATATCATATGCTATTTCCCTGATAAAGTGCTTTAGAAAACAGTGAAAGCCCTGGAGGCTGGCCAGCCATTAGTATAACCCTCATACTTGGGGTTTAGGAACCAGCATGAGGTCCTTTTCCTTTTGCTATGGGACTCAGCATAGCCCACACCCAACCATTAATTCTGATACTGTTTTTTGCTTAATTAAAATTTTATATTTTTTTCCCAAGCCCCTGTTATATATGTATTCTGTGTAAGGCAAGAAAGTCTGATATTATTTGCAGTGCTAAATATCTATCTTGCCTATTTTTATGTACACATTTAAACTTGTTTGCAGTTAAAAAAATTTTTTTTAACTAATTTGCTGTTATAAATTACACAGCCACTGCAGGATCTGGAGATCCCATATGGACATGGGCATGAACATTAAAAACATTTTTAAAATGTTTTTATGTTGACAAATTGAGAAATGCAGTAGCAGTTAATCACCTTCTCTGTGTTCTTCACCTCCCTGATTTGTATGCAAATACACACTGAATATAAGTTGTTCCTCTTTATTATTATCTTATATCTTTTTCCTGTTGTTCCTTACGCACAGCAGCCAAATGGTATTGATACTATTTTATCTTTTGTCACAAATATTTTTGTGGTTGACTTATTCCTCCTTTAAAAGAACAAACCACAGAAAAGGAATAAAACAATAGAGTATACTCTGGTTGCTAATTTTACAGATACCAAGTGGCCTAGATCAAGTCAGTGACAAATAAATAATTTCAGGCATTGCATATACATTTTTTGAGACTATTAGATAATACCATAATTTAACACTATCCTCAAATTAGCCAAAGAAAAATTTTAAAGCCAAATAAGAACATCAGAAAAACAACCAGCCAACTATAATCACAGAAATCAGTAGAAGTAGAGGGGAGGGGGGGAAGGGGATGGGTTAGCCCGGTGATGGGTATTAAGGAGGGCACATATTGAATGGAGCACTGTGTGTTATACGTAAACAATGACTTATGGAACACTACATCAAAAACTAATGATGTAATGAATGATGACTAACATAACATAATAAAATAAAATTAAAAAAGAGAAGTAGCCAACATATATGTGTACCTATGTACATCAATAAACATGAACAAAAATGTTCTTATCAGTGTTATTCATAAAAGCCCAAAACAGGAAACAATCCAAAAGTCCCTCAACAGGAAATAATCCAAAAGTCCCTCAACAGGAAATGGATGAAAAAATGTGGTATATTCACACAGTGCTAGGATAGTCAACCTTGAACATGTTCCCAATGACTCCACCTACTGGTATTCATGCCTTTATGTAGTATCTTCCTATATTGTACCAGGGTTGGTCTGTGTCAAGTGGAGGTGTGTGACTTACAAAGTTTGGTCATAAAAGACATTTCTACTTCCACCTTGCTCTCTTGGATCCATCATCCTGGGGGAAGCCAGTCAGTTATCTATTGCCATGTAACAAACATCTCAAAACTTAAAATAGCAACTGTTTGTATTTTCTCACAATGATATAAGTTTAGAATTCAAGGCTTAGCAAATTCAAGGCTGAGCAGGTGTATCAGTTCGAGTTCTCCAAAGAAACAATAGCCAATGGGAGATTGCAGAGATACAGATGTAGGTATAGGTATAGATACATATTTTTATATCTAGATCTAGATCCAAGATGGCCTCACTCACATGTCAGGGAACTTGGTCCCAGCTGTTGCCTGGGGCATCATGATTATTCTCCACATGACTACTGTCTCCATGTAATTTCTTATCATTCAGTAGTCTAAGACTGACTTCCTTACATGGTGGCAGTCATATTCCAAGAAAATGAGGGCAGAAGCTGCTTGGCCTCTTAATCCACAGCCCACCCAACGTCACTTCCACCACATTCCAGTGGTCAAAGCAGGTCACAAGGCCAGCCCAGATTCAAGGGGAAGCAAAACAGGTTCCATGCCTTGATGCGAGGAATTGTTGACAGTAGTCTCTGCAGATAATATACCATAGGCACTTAGAACATGACCTGACACACATTAAGACCACAGTGAGAAATGTAGATAGCCAAGACCTAGTCATACCATCCCTGTGCCTGGCCAAAATTCCATCATCAGAAACAGCATTGGCCCAACTCACATGTTATCCCTTTGGTCACCTGTCTGGATCATCACCCATGCTGTGCCCTGTGCCCTTTTTGGGTACAAGCAATGACTACAAGGATCTCCTACCATACCCCAAGGTTTAGTCCATCCAAGTCATTATCATCTCTTCTTGAGCTACTATGACAGCCCCCTCTTTCTTGCCACACTCTGGAATGTTGTCTACACTGTAGCCAGAATGATCTTATTAAAGTCAAATCACATCACTCCAGTGGTGTCCCATCATACAATCCTAATTCTATGCCATGATCTGGTTCTGAGCAACCCGTCCATCCAAGTCCTCCTCCATTCTTTCCTTGCTCAGTTCATTCCAGCAACCTTGGCTTTCTTGCTATCCCTCAAACACACCAAGCTAATTGTGCCTCTGGGGTCCTTCCCTCAGAATGCTCTTCCTGTAAATCTCACATGACTGGCCTCTTTAGATCACTCAAATCACTATTCAAATGACACCTCCTCAAAGAGATCTTCCTTAACCACACTACTCAAAAATAACACTCACAGCCCACCCCTGAATACCTTTTTCCTGATGGAGCTTTATTTTTCTTCATAACACCCCCTAGAATTACCTATTTTTTTAATTTATAGTCTCTCTTCTCCACTAGAATATAATTTCCGTAAGAGCATAGAAATTCTTCTCCCAATATATAAAACAGTGCCTAACACATAATAGGCACTCAATAAATATGTGTTGGGTAAATGAAAGAACCCGGGATCAACTGGGGCAAAAACAATGGGAAGCAAACCCAGTGATGTTGAGCACTGCCCTGCCCTATCCTGTATATCTCAATTCTGGTATTCTCATCTTTCCTTTTTAATTGAGATATAATTGACAAACAACATAAGTTTTGGGCATACAACATAATGACTTGATATTTGTATACATTGTGAAATGATCACCACAGTAAATCTAATTAACATCCATCACCAAACACAGCTTTAGAATTTTGTTTCTTGTGTTAAGAATTTTAAGATCTAGTCTTTTAACAATTTTCAAATATGCAATACAGCATTAGTAACTATAGTCACTATGCTGTACATTATCTCTTGTGACTTATTAATGTTTGTTCCTTTTGACCCCCTTCATCCATGTGGCCCACCTCCCATCCCATGCCTCTGGCAACCACCAATCTAGTCTCTGTATCTAAAAGCTCCATTGTTTGGGGGGTTTTTTTGAGATTCCACATGTAAGTGAGATCATATGGTATTTGTCTTTCTCTGAATGACTTATTTCACTTAGTATAATGCCCTCGAGGTCTATTCATGTTGCCACAAATGGCAAGATTTCATTCTTTTATGCCTGAATAATATTCCATTGTATATAGACACTACATCTTCTTTATCCATTCATTTGCCAATGGACACTTAGGTAGCTTCCATGTTTTGGCTACTGTAAATAATGCTGCAGTGAACATGGGGTGCATATATCTTTTGAAGCTAGGGTTTTCATTTTCATCAGATAATCTGGTATTCTAATCTTATCACTGATGTTCAGTTACAATTTGGTGTTTCAGGACAGGGAACTTGCAGACTGAAGGGGACAAGTTGGGAACAATTGATATGGGCATCTGTAAGATGCAGGTGGAAAAAGACTAGACCTGGCCCTTATTTGGGAACCTGTAGCCAATGCGGACTGTCCTAGGATGACAGGTTGTCTCTTCTGTCTTATGTTTGCTATGTGTACCACCTTTCTGCCAGAGACACCTTGGGTATGTCCTACAGCAGTGAGGAAATAGGGAGAGGTGTGCACAAGAGGCAAAGAAGAAAGGAAACAGATAATATTGCATACCAATATACATGCTGAACAGTTTCCATGTATTATCTCATTTAACTCTTAAAACAACAGGTATTACTCTTCATTTCACAGATACAGAAAATGTACGGCAAGGTGGGTAGGCATTGTCTGCTGATGCCGGCGTGCCAACAGGAAGCAAACTTCAAAAGATAACCCAGGCTTTCTCTTCTTCTCTGCCTGTCATTATGGAAAGCCTATGTCCTGTGATGACAATCCATCCCTTTGCGGAGTTTCTGATGTTTGCTCTTCCCCACAGTGGTGTCCTGTGGCCATCCAGGCTCCCCACCCCATGCCCAGATGTCCGGGGACAGCTTTACTGTGGGAGCAGTCGTGCGTTACAGTTGCACCGGCAAGAGGACTCTGGTCGGAAATGCCACCCGTATGTGTGGGCTGGATGGACACTGGACTGGCTCCCTCCCCCACTGCTCAGGTATGGAGCCTAGCATGAGGGAGCAGGGTCCAATGGAACCCTTGGCTGGGGGGAGATGGGACAAGCTCCCAAGGTGTGAGTGTGACAGATGGCCAGGAGGGAAGCCAACCTTTTAGACCCCCATTTCATAGGCAGAGAACACAGCTATCAGAAGTCCCAATCGAACTTCAGCCTTTGGTGGTCTGAGACCAGCTTCCTCTCTTGGTCTCCTTTGGCCAAGCCCATACACCCCAGAGATTGAAAAACTAGGGAGAATGCAAGTTTGTGAGGTCCCCCTGTGACCAGAGCCCTGTCCAGACACTTGTTTCCATGAGTTTCTGAGAAGAGTCCGAGCCTCCCTGTTGTTGGGCCCAGATCCAAAGCCACCCTTGTGTTCTTTTTTTTTTTTTTAAGATTTTTTTATTTATTTGATAGAGACAGACACAGCGAGAGAGGTAACACAAGCAGGGGGAGTGGGAGAGGGAGAAGCAGGCTCCCCGCCGAGCAGGGAGCCCGATGCGGGGCTCGATCCCAGGACCCTGGGCTCATGACCTGAGCCGAAGGCAGACACTTAACGACTGAGCCACCCAGGCGCCCCGCCACCCTTGTGTTCTTTCCTTCCCTGTTTGAGACTCCAAGGCCCCAGCCTGCTTCCTTTTCTTTCTTATCACTGCCTCCCCAACTTGTCTTATGTCTAGGCTGCCTAGTGGGATACAGGTCTCCCATATTGCCCTTATACACCAGTCTCAGATTTTTCCTATTAATATATTTGTTTTACTATTAATCTCTATGAGGATACTGACAGATGCTATCCAAAGAGCAAATTTAAGAAACTGCCAAAGCTCTTGTGTCTATATTATCCAAACCAGAATTTCATCTATAATATCTTAACAGAACAAAATATTTGAAATTGAATTGTCCCAACGACAGAAATCACTAACCCAAAAATTAGTACCCCTGAACTTGGTCTCCTTTGAGATGAGCCTGCCTGGCCCCAGAAGGGATCCCATAAGGTGTGTCAACCCCAGGAAGGCAACTGCTCATGTAACTTTATGTTTCTCAGGGGGCCCACCTTGGCATTGATACTAACCCCTCTCCTTTCCCATGCCAGGGCCCCTCTAGAGGTAAGAATCCCAACCTCCTCTTATTATAGATGCCTTCTCCTTGATTTGGGACCTCACCCACAAGACACGTATGTAGCTGTTCCTGCAGTCTGAGTTCCCAGATGATCTGTCTCCCAAAATTTAGGGCACTGCCAGAATATTGAACCAGATATTGGCTAGGTCTCCTCAGAAAGAAGAAATTCCTCAAGTGCTGGCCACTGTTTCAAAGGGCTTCTGGCTGCCCAGGACAATCTCAGACACATCACTCTGTATCACCACCCAGGACTTCGGCCCCTCGCCTTTATTAATCTCATTAATCACTCACTTTATGAACTGGGTGGGACTATATATTAGCCGTGGAGACTCCTTTAGCCTGGACTAGAGGAAAGCCTATTAACCAGGCCCCTAACTTCATTTTGTTTGGACTTCTGGTGGAAGTGACTTGGGGAGGATGGCATGGAGAAGACAGAGTCCTGTATATGGAGGCTTCCTGAGTTACCCACAGAGCAAGTTCCAGGAGAAAAAGACCTTCCAAAGAGGAAAGTCATGCATTTCCCATCCAAATGCCTGCATAAGCACGCATTTGCCCCAGTCTCTTCTGTGAATTGTCCCCTTACATAGTTTCTCCCTCTAGACACTTCTCTAGGGCATTGGGCCAATGGTGTTCTTAAAGCCTATTTTATCTATCTTGGGGATCTTTGTTCTCCATGGGAAAGGGAATTGCAGAGTACAAGAGAAAGAAGCCATAAAGAAAACCTTGAGCCTCTCCTGCCTGTTAACATATATAACCCAACCACACAGCGATTCTCCTGGCCCAAGGCATGGAATCCAAAATCTTTTCTCCTCAGTGTAATTTCCCTTCTCTGGAGTTGTGTTAGCAGACGCTGGAAAATGACCTACTTGAAAAATGACCTACCCCAGAAACAATTCTTGTTTGCGATAGAAAACTAAGGTAGAAAACCTACAGCCCTGAGATTTCATAATTTTGTGACTTCCCGAATACCAGTCCTGTGTGGGAGAAAAGGGACTCTTCCTTGGTCACATCAAAGGTCAAGGGAGAGTAGAAACAAGCTGACTCTCTGGGAACATGAAAAAGTGAAAAGCAAGAAAGGAACCTTCAGAGGACATGGACCCCACTCATTATGGGATATGTTGCATTCAGCTGTTTTATACCTGATGATGAATATTCTGAAGAATAGTTTGCAGTCACTTCTCCCATGTATCCATCAAGGATGACAAACACTTTGGAGACCAGAATCATGGGCAGAGTTTTGCTGGTGACCTCTGAGGACAGGATTAGAGGGGATTATATTAATGCTAAGGCTGAGGAATGAATGAGTTTTAAATGCTTTAGATAAGAAACTGAGAGATGTGAGGAATAAGTGATTAGAAAGTAACCCTGGAGGTGCTCTTGTGAGTAGAATATAATTCCTCTCTTCCTAAAACTTACAGATATCATCTTTTGCAACACTATCTCCTGCCATTCCTAAGAAATATGCATTCAGAAATCCAGGGTCACATTTCTGAGCCTCATTCTGTATGCCCATGCACATAGATGATGCATAACAGGCTATAAGTGCGTGGGCCATCATCAGAACATGCAGAGATTTCTAGCATTTGAGACATGCTTCAGGTTGGTCATTGTCCACCTCTGCAATGTCATCATTTGCTGATATACCTCAGTAGAGGACCAACAGTTACCGTGTGCCCCTGTGGTACAATATTGTGTCTCAGACTCCTGTATATCACCAAAAAAGAGCCCCAAACACTACAGTGAGGACCATTCTGTCAGAATAAGCTCCCAGGACTGGAGACCTCCACCCTCAGGCGTGTTGTTCAGTAGTGCACCTCCAGCTAAGGTCACCTAGCCAGTGTGGGAGTTTGTGTACTCACCATCAGAACTGCCTTCAGGGTGACCCAGTGCAGCCTGTTGCATTAGCTACACCCTGGAAAACTCCAAGAGAGAAGAAAATCTAGCCAAGTGTGATGGGTCCTCTTTTTCCAAATGTTTGAGTTGAAGGTTGAATAAATCCCCCTTCCTTGGTAGAGAGCAACATGGGATCATATAGTAAGTGTTCTCACAGTCTGAGACTAAATGAGAAAAGGAAATAATTCCATGATCGAGAAGAAGAGACATAAATGGTAAATGGTGGGTTATACATGACTTAAACATTTATTTACTCCAACAAACTAAACGTGCTTACTCAGACATTAGCATTTGATGCCCACACATGTGGGTTCCTGAGGAGATACATGCCACATCAGATGGCACCCTGTCTTCTCATGAAGTTGCCATTTATTCCTTCATTTTCCTCTTCCTTCTTCATGCTTCCCATGGCCTAGTCTGATCTAATGATGTCTCCTATACAACTCTGTATTATGAGGGGTGCTGGCTTCCACAAGCCTCGACCTTGTGGCTTTGTCTCCTGTTCTCTACCTTCCTCCACCCCTTGGGTCCTTAGCACTCTCTTGGGTGGGTCTGTACAATATCAGGACCCAGATGAATGCCGAAATGTAGCAGGAGGCAAGGGGCAAAGAAAGAATGGAATGAGAGAGTCCAAAACATTTCACCTAGAATTCACCTGTGTTACATACTTGGTGAATAGGGAATCCTCAACGAAAGGCCCAAGATCCAGATTCAAGCTGAGCTGTTGAGAAGACAAAACTACACTAAGGAGTTTAGACTTTAACCCACAGGCTATGGGAAGCCAGTGGAGACATTTCAGTAGGAAAGAAACAAGATCAGATGGCTGATGGTTTTTCATTGTCAAGGTTTGAGGATAAAGTGGAAGATGGGTTACAGGGAGAGTTTAGGAGGTAGGGACATTAGGAGACTCTCACAATAGTTGGGGCAAGAGAATGCTGGGCATGTGAGCTAAGATGCTGGAACCAGGGACAGAGAGGGCACAGAATCCGCAGATATTGTAGAGAAGTAAAAGGAAGGAGGAGGAGATGTGGCCAGCTTGGACCACTGACATTCCACACTGGCACTGGCCAGAAAGCAAAGGCCTGATCTCTACCACAGAGCCTTCCCTCTGCTTTCTTCCCTTGCTGTGCAGTCCCCGGGGACTCACCCATGACCTCAGACCTTTGTATTCTCTGACCTCTGGGTAATAAGGCAGGTAGTAGCGTCCAACTAACTGGGGTAAGACACACAGTCAGTTTTCACCCCCCTTATTCCTGGGGCCCAAAGCCTCCCCTTAGCACCGACCCACTATCTCTCTCACGTCCCCACTGCCAACTCTTCCATGCTAAAACAACAGGGTTTGTTTGGTTCTGGTCCATAGGAACCAGTATGGGAATCTGTGGTGACCCGGGGATCCCAGCACATGGCATCCGTTTGGGGGATAGCTTTGCCCCAGGCAGCCTGATGCGTTTCAGCTGTGAGGCTGGCCACACGCTCCGGGGATCATCTGAGCGGACCTGTCAAGCCAACGGCTCATGGAGCGGCACGCAACCTGAGTGTGGAGGTAATGTATGTGACCATTCTGCTTTTCCCCTTTGTCCACCCCGGCTGCTCGTCCCCCATTTGCCTGCTCCCAAGCACCTGCCCTCACCGTTGCAGACAAAATCCGTGGCCCCGTTGGAACCCTTGGCCTGAAGGATAGTGGTCAATAGATAGTCCTCAGCCATGCTCATTATTAATCCAAAGATGAACATATTCCCCACCCTCACCTAAGAGGGGAAGAAACCAGAAGGAACTAAGTTTAGCCCCATTTATTCATTTATTTCCCATACAGCTCCCACAACTATGTGCCAAATACTATAGTAGGTGCTGGGGACACAACAGTGCCAAGACGGACACACCTCGCCCTCTTAGAGTTTAGTTTAAGGGAAGAGACTGTTAAACGATTATCCAAGGTGCCAAAAGAAATACAAATCTCATTTTTAAAAGACCCTTTAAAGGTAATAGAAGTCCCTCCTGGGATTTTCTGAGGTAGCTCCAGTGGGGGAATTTAGATTTCTCCACATGCTCCTGAATTTCTGAAAATAACTTTATTTTAAAACCTCTCTCAGGACGCCTGGGTGGCTCAGTCGGTTAAGCATCTGCCTTCGGCTCAGGTCATGATCCCAGGGTTCTGGGATCAAGTCCTGCATTGGGTTCCCTGCTCAGTGGGGAGCCTGCTTCTCCCTCTCCCTCTGCCTGCCACTCTGCCTACTTGTGAACTCTCTGTCAAATAAATAAATAAAATCTTAAAAAATAAAAATAAATAAAAAATAAAACCTCTCTCCCCAGAGTCCAACTTTTGTAGCTGCTCCCAGGATCTCTCTATCGCTCTCTAAAATACAGCCGCTCTCTAAAATACACCTTAAGCACTCTCTTAATTAGGAATCAGTGTAACCGCTGAGAGTAAGGGTGTGTGAGAAGGTGCTGGAAGAGGAGGGAGACCATATGGAAAGAGTCACCTAGCAAGGGGGGCGTGGGAGTCGAATAGGGCAGTGTATAATTGCCAGCAGCACCAAGGGCTCACTTAAGGAAAAAGGCCATTAATTTAAAGTGAGAGTGGTTAGCATTAGCCTGTGTTTTTGTTCAGGCCACATTTTGCCCCATAGGTGTAGCCTTTGGGTAGGTGAAGCATTAGGTATACAGTTGAGGTTTTATCAGGCAGCTAAGACATTGGCAGCAAGTGGCAAGTGAGAGGGTTTATGCAAGGCAGCGATTATGATGGATCTTGGCATCTATGCTGGGTAAGGTGGGAGCAGGTTTATGAGTGGAGTAAGGGACAGTGAAAAAGTGGTAGGATACATGGATTATAGGTCCCATTGGAACCAAAAATATCACCAGAGAGTGAATCCCAGAGGGTATGAGCTGAAGAGATAAGAGGCAGTGGTCAGAGAATGGCCCTTGAAATTGCGGTTGTGGAGTAAGTCCTACGAGGGCAGGGACCCCCTCTCCCACTTGTCTGCCTAAAGTCCTGCCTATCTGAGGGTGCTTTTGCAAAGTTAGTTTCCACGGGATTTTTTTTTTTTTTCAAGTAGGCTCCACACCCAGCAGGAGCCTGAACTCAGGACCCTGAGATCTAGACTTGAGTTGACATCAAGAGTCAGACACTTAACCAACTGAGTCACCCAGGCGCCCCTATTTCCATAGGATTTTGTAGGCATAGTAAGAGGTCTGTGGTAGTGGGAGAGTATATTGGCAGGGGGAGAATTCAGTGCATTCTCAAATATCCACTGTGACCCGGGTCCCCTTTCATACCACTCAGATCCCAGCATGGAGTCAGTCAACATGTCAGGAGTGTTCAGGGAACAGAAAGCGGGTGGCTAAGAATTTAGACCTGGAAGTGAATGTTTGTTAGATGAGTGTGTGTATGATATGGACACAATTCTTCATGACTTTCCTTGACCAGTTCCCACTTACCTTTCAAAGTACGACTCAGATTCTTATCTTTGACCCCAATAAGCTCCTCCCTTCTTAGTGTGTTTTTTCCTTCAAGTAAAACACTTATTGCATCCTATTTTAATTCCAACTATTTATAAGTACGTCCTTAAGATGGACTGGCCTCCTGAAGGGCAGGGGACATGACTTCCTAACTATGTTCCCAGCACCTAGGCAGCACAAATACTTGTGGAATCCATGGGTGCTAAGACCTGTCTGTTGTGCTCATTATATAGGAATTATTTGTAGATTTGACTTTGGGACCACATAAATGTTGTATATACTTGGAAAAGTAAATTAAATCAAAGATTAGAAACAAGCAATCTCTAAATATCAAAATCAAAATGAAAACAAATGAACCTAACTACTCATCAAATTGGTGATTTAACAATCTAGAGAATTATTTCAACTGACTTGAAAAAAGTGGAATTTGACTATGGCATATGTGCCCTAAGGACAAAGAGAATGACAATGAAATCTTAAATTGTTTTTCAGCAATCATATTATTAGTAATAATATTGATATTACTATCCTGAAACTTTTTGAAAACAAATTAAAATCATTTATCATTAAGAACCAAGATTTTCAGTATTAAAGAGATATAAAAGTAAAGAAGTTAAGGAAAGACTCTTAATCCTAAATTTGGATTGGTAATATCAACATAAACTCATAATGAATTTTCAACCTAAAAAGTTATTTTCCCAGCTCTACCCATTCTAAAAGTCTAGTATCAATGACCAGCTCAGTAGCAATGAGTACCCTTAATTTTCAGATTATGGTTTTTAAATCCATTCTCCATTAAAAGAAACCAGAGCTCTTTAGAGAAATGGCTGATTCCAGGACTGGGGCAGGATATACAAGATGAACATGGAGCACAGTGTCACTCCAGCAAGAAATCTACCATAGACGAGCGGGATCATGTCAAAGGAACACAGAAGCCAACATGGAGAGGCTCCCCCTAGCCAAAGATGGGATAACTTAAGCATCAATAAGAATAATAGTGGCTATACCTTGGCTAATTGAATTTAAATAAATTTTAAAAAGAATAATGGTGGCAATGGATGACAACATAATAAGTTTAAATCCACGAGTCCAAATGACTATCCATCATCTTTGGAGCTTACTAGGGAACCAAATCATTATTCTGACATCAGATAAGAAAGAAAATCAAACATTATCCAGCCTTCCTTTATGAATTGTATTTCAGGGAAAGCAAATATTTGATGATGGGCAAGTTCTTTATTAAAGAACTCTAGCAAATAAAATAAAATAAAATATTTTTTAAAAAGATTCATTATTTATCTGAAATTCAAATATAAAAAAAAAGAACTCTAGCTAATTCAGAAAGAATCATAGAATTAGATATCACCATTTTCTGTCCCTTAATGAAATAACAAATCTGGTCAACAATCATCAAGTGCTGCTTGAACCATTAAGTGAACAACCAATGGGAACTCTGTAATGCTGGATGAGGTGGGCTAACCGGAACCCATTCGATCAGCCTCAACATCATGAACAGGGAAACAGCCAGACATTCCGTGCCTCCTGATGTGGTGCAGTAGGAAAGACAGGACCACCTATGAAGTCCCCTTGCCAAGAAGCAGAACTTGACTTACAGGAATTACAGGGGACAGAGCAACATGGGGAACAGCACCTCACCAGTGCACTTAGCAACACCTAGAAAGTGGGAAATTGCACTGGAGATACGCGTCTGTAACAGATAAATTCTAGGAGAGGGAACAGGAATCTCTGAATTCAAAGAGGCTTAGAGGCATGATTGTCCAAAGTCCTATTTGGATCATGATTCAAACAAATCAACGGTTTAAAAAAAAAAAAAATGATGGGGGGTTGGGCAACTGAGGTAAATTAAGCACTGGTTGGATATTTGGTGATATTAAGGAATTGTCTACAATTTTAGGTGGGATAATAAAAATAATTAGTCTTTACGTCTCAGAAATTAAAAAAAAAAAAATTCATTCAGACCTCTCCTTCCCTTCTGGGGGCCAGACGCTTAGACGCAAAAGCAGCCTGAGAGGCCTTTCATTCCTCAGGGTCCTGACGTAGCCCGCGGGTTGCCCTCTGGGCCGCTGTCCGCCCCCCGGTGACGCCCCACCCTTGTTCTGGTGACTAATGCACTCCTCTGGCTTCCCAGTGGTCTCTTGTGGGAACCCCGGGACTCCGAGCAACGCCCGAGTCATGTTCAGTGACGGCCTGGGCTTCTCCAGCTCCATCGTCTATGAGTGCCGGGAGGGCTACTATGCCACGGGCCTGCTCAGCCGACACTGCTCCGTCAATGGCACCTGGACAGGCAGTGACCCGGAGTGCACAGGTGAGAGCCCAGGGCCTCTGGGCTCCGTGGCGAGTGGTGGCCAAGGCAATCGGGCTCCTCTCCGCCGAAGAAGACTGTCTGTGGGAGACTGGGAAGGCTGACTGCAATGGGGAGACTCACCCCCGAATGAGAGTGTCTATTTATTGAGCACGTACTGTTTGACCACCCCTGAGCTAAGTGTTTGATTTGATTTGCATTATGTCATTTGATTCCCACCACAGTCCACTTGACGTATGAGATGACTGAGGCTCAGGGAGGTTGAGAATATATGTATTTGCTATTCCTCGGGCTCTCGCTAGCTCCTTGGGCTTTCTTGTTCTCTTTTACAGCAAACTCCCCGTGCTCAGCCTGATCCTAAAGCTACCACCATCCACCATCTTCATGGGTTCCTCTCGGCCTTGGACCCATTCCCCCACCCCACCCCCCAGCCTGGCTCTCAAGCCTTCGTATAGCCCCACTGCTCCCCTTCCTAGCTCCTCTCTGGGGCAGCCCCAGACCTTTTTCCTTGGGCAGTAAGTCACTGTGGGTCCCAGATGGAGGGAAGTGACAAGATAAAGGTATCTGAGAACGCAGTCCCTTTCCAAGCCCTAGCCTGTGATTTCAGGGCTCTGTCTAAATCCCATGTCAAGTTCACTTCTCTTCCGAGGCCAGAGCTCACCAAACCCCACCCTCACTCCATACCATAACAAAGATACGACCATTGCAAGGTTACAAGACCCTGCTTCTAAGCCGCTGGCCCTACAGGGGCCTCCTAGGCAGAACAGCAGGTGGTAACATGCACCCCTCAGCAGACAAATTGTCTTAAGAGGTCCAATAACACAGGCTCTTCAGTCAGAAGACTTCCCCCTCTGAGCCCCAGCCTCATTTAGGAGCTAAGCCCTCTAGGTACTTCCTCTGAGAGGAGTGGGCTTTGAATAAGGATGGTCTTCATAGTCCAAGTTGCTGGGGTGCATAAGGATGGTGGGGGCGAGGACAGTGGGGAAGTGGGAGGGCCATTGCAGAGAGACTTGGCCAGAGGGACTTTAGAAAGTGCAGTGCCCAACCGGAAGCCTGTGAAGAGTCAGGGCATCCCTGATCTGACTCTCTTCCCTCCTGGACATGTGCGGGGAGTACTAAGGATAGCATTGGAATGCTGGGGAGCAAAGGGGTCTGTACTGATAGTGAACCATGCTTTATCTCCCTTCTCCTAGTCATAAACTGTGGCGACCCTGGAATTCCAGCCAATGGCCTCCGGCTGGGCAATGACTTCAGGTACAACAAAACAGTGACATTTCAGTGTGTCCCTGGCTACATGATGGAGTCACATAGGGTGTCTGTGCTGAGCTGCACCAAGGACCGGACGTGGAATGGTACTAAGCCAGTCTGCAAAGGTGTGTCTGAGGGCTGCACATGTGGACACAGGGCCAAAGAAGATACAAAAGTGAGACATGGGCCTCGAACATGTAGCAGGGAGGGAGGTGATGAGGCAGAGCCCTAATAACATCTTGTCCTGGGGGGTGTGAGGTAAGGACTGATCCCTGAACATCTGCAAAGAGGGAGTTAGAGACACCAAGGTAAGGCCTGGGCTTTGAGCATCAAGGGAAGGACTGTGCAGACAGAGGAGTGGGTTGTCACACTTGAGGGCATTGTAAAATGCAAAAGGACCCCAGCTCCCAAACTAAGAGGGGGCATTTCTGATTCTTCCTGCTTAGCCCAGAATCCCAGCAGGTGCAGGGTAGCCAGTGACATCCGTGCTGGGGAGTGGGGCCTAGTGCCCCAGGATGGCACCAGAACTCAGCGTGCTTTGCTCTCCCCCCTCCCCCAGCTATCATATGCAAGCCACCTCAGCTCATCCCCAATGGGAAAGTGGTGGGATCCGACTTCATGTGGGGCTCAAGCGTGTCGTATGCCTGCCTGGAGGGGTACCAGCTGTCCCTGCCTGCAGTGCTCACCTGTGAAGGGAATGGATCCTGGACTGGAGAGTTGCCTCAGTGTTTCCGTAAGTTTGCTTATGAACAGGTCTTTGTGCATCCTATCTGCCAGCTCCTTCCCCTTCCTTCCTCAGAGCTCTGCTACTGGAAGGCCTAGAATAGGTAACACCTTCCCCCAAAATCGGGGAGAGACTTTACCAAAGACACTCTTAAAGGGAGTTTAAAGGAAAATAATGAGAATATCCCAACTGAGCCCCAGCTGTGGACACCATGTGGAGTTACAGTGGAAGGAAGTTAAGCCAGAGATAAGGGAGGTGTCTCTTAACGTGAAAGGTTGTTCACTGGATGGGATAGTTCCCAAAGATCTAGAAGGGGCCCATGCTGGAAATGTGCCTGTCTTTATGGAAAATAGCCCACAGAGAAAAGATTCCTGGAGCCTACCTGATTTTTTGGTGAAAGACTTTGTTTCTTATCCACCTGGCCTAATTGTGTCCCCAAGAGCCCAATTCCATCCCAGAGCTCACTTCCTCATTTATTCTTGTCACATAATTGGACTCTGGAAGATCTTCTCAGCACCCATGCTTTGGACAAATAGTAGACCTATTTTTTTTTCTACTAGGCATTTATCTAATTCTGTAGAAAACCATCAACATACTCATGACATTGTTTGGATACCTCTGAAAATTTACTTCAATTTGGGAAATTTCAGCAGGAACTAGGACCAGCAGCTCAAAAGTGGATGCAGGAAAGGCAGCATCTGGTGCATGGTCAGCCCCTCAGGGCTTTGTATACCTCCAAGGAAACATTAGGAAGGTAGCAAGTCTCAGGGTTGAGTCTGGGCTGAGAAACCCTACTTTTCTTCTTGAGAAATAACTAAATTGCTTTTGAACAATGAATTACGGTCATCATAAAAAAAATGTAAATGTATCTGAAAAAGCAAAGAAGAACATAACACTCTGGCTTCCTGAAGATAACCAGGGTTAAGCTCTTGACTGTGCTTCCACCCCGACCACAATGCTTTGGACATAGAGGTGTGCAGTTTTCGGCAAACGGTATTAAATCATGCTGTGCAGACTAGTTTGTGACTTGTCTTCATTGATAGGCCATCACCACCTTTCTCCATCAATCCATACTGACCTACACATCATCATTTTTAATAGCTTAAAGAACTTCCTTATTGTAGCTACCACAACTGGTTTAATCTTCTCCTACTGGTGAAGAATTTAGGCTTCTCCAGTTTAGTTACGTTAGAAGTTCTGCAATAAATGTTCTTGAAGACAACATTTCTTTACTCTTCTAGTAAAGTCCTAGGAGAGAGAAAATGCTGAGCCAGCGGGTATGCACGCTATACATCTTGACACATGGTGCCAAACTGTCTTCTAGAAAGAGTCCCAACTCACACTCCCACCAGCAGTTTTAAGAGAATACTTCTTGACTCAATTCCTCATTAACAATGGATTTTGCCAATATCTTTTAATATTTACCAGCCCAAGAAGTTTAAAAAGGTATCTCATTGTTTTAATTGGCATCATATTTCTTATCAGCAAGACGGAGTTGCTCTTTCTTTGTCATCCATTTGTACTTCTTGTTCATTGAGCTGCTTCTTCCTAGATTTGGTGACTTCTGATCAAGTCAGCCTTTAACTGACTTCTGATTGGCTTGTCTAGACCCCCAGCTCCCACAGAGGCTTCCACCAGCATAGGCTGCTGATCCTGCTTCCATTTTATTATTTTCTATTTCTTTAGGATGCATCCTTTTTTTCAGACTTTTTTTAGTTTGATAAGTAGAATGTAGTGATTCATCAGTCTTAGATAATACCCAGTGCTCATTACATCACATGCCGTCCTTAATGCCCATCACCCAGTTACCCCATCCTCCCACCCCTCCCCTCTAGCAACCCTTAGTTTGTTTCCTATGATTAAAAGTCTCTTATGGTTTGCCTCCCTCTCAATTCTCATCTTATTTTATTTTTCCTTCCCTTCCCCTATGTTCATCTGTTTTGTTTCTTAAATTCCACATATGAGTGAAATCATATGGTATTTGTCTTTCTCTGACTGACTTATTTTGCTTAGCATAATACCCTCTAGTTCTATCCACATCATTACAAATGGCAAGATTTCATTTTTTGATGGCTGAGTAGTATTCCATTGTGTATATATATATACCACATCTTCTTTATCCATTCATCTGTTGCTGAACATCTGGGCTCTTTCCATAGTTTGGCCATTGTGGACATTTCTGCCATAAACATTGGGGTGCATTTGTCCCTTCAAATTACTGTTTGTATCCTTTGGATAAATACCTAGTAGTGCAATTGCTGGGTTATAGGCAACTCTATTTTCAGCTTTTTGAGGAACCTCTATACTGTTTCCCAGAGTGGCTGCACCAGCTTGCATTCCCACCAATAGGTTCCCCTTTTTCTGCATCTTTACCAACATCTGTTGTTTCCTGATGTTAATTTTAGCCATTCTGACAGGTGTGAAGTGGTATCTCACTGTGGTTTTGATTTGTATTTCCCTGATGCCAAGGGATGTTGAGCATTTTTTCATGTGTCTTTTCTTTGGAGAAATGTCTGTTCATGTCTTCTGCCCATTTCCGGACTGGATTTTTTGTTTTTAGGTGTTGAGTTTGATACATTCTTTCTAGATTTTGGATACTAGCCTGCTTCCATTTTATTTTGTATATGATTATGAACCTCTTGGCTGTGTGCACACACACACATTCACATCATAGCATGAAGGGTGTTCTTCATGCTTGAAGTGATGTCTTGGGGAACTATGACTCTGGTAGTCAGTTTTCTTGGAGCTTGCTGTAAAGAAGTCAAATATATTTATTTCTAACCTGCTGTGCTCCACAACATATTTTCCGTGGCCAAGAGGCTGACCACTTGAGATGTGCAGTATTGGAATTCTTATCATTGTTTCCAAACTTTGCATCTGGGCCTTCCGCAGTGCTTGGTACTCCTGCTTCCCTCCTCCAGACTGCATCTCTTCCTCCATAGGCATGCTTCTCAGACCTAGTCACTTTCTTGCCGTATTACTGCAAACATATCCCTCATAACACCACCTCTTCCTCTTACATAACTCCCTAAACATGGGCAGGGATTTTGTCCCCACACTGTAGCACATCAGGATCAAGATCACTGTCAGCCTCACCCACTTCCTACATGCTTCCCCAGACCCACTCAGCCCTTTCCATGCCACCTCCCCATTTGGCTTGACAGCTCCCCTGTCTTCAGTAAAGAAGCTTCTGAAGTTGACTACCCCCCTCCCCAGATCCGACCATTTCCAAATATGCAACTTCTACTTCTTCTCTTGAGTCCCTGATGCACTTAATGTACTTTCAGTAAATTTTGTTGATGCTCAAGCCATGTTATTTATCTGTATTTTTCACCTTTTATACCCTCCTGTGTTATCCGGCTTAGATTCTAAAATCTCAGAAGGCAGCGCTCATGTCTGTGGACTTACTCGGTGCCAGAAGCAGCAGAAAATCAGGAGCTGAAGATGTTTGTTAAATGCTGTTTGAAAATTAATGGAAAAGGAAGTGAATTTAATTCAAGGCAAAACGGATGTGAGGAAGAGGAGTCACACTGCGCCATTAGCTTTGCTCTGATTACCCGCACGTGAACTCCTCCCCTGGGAGGTCACAGAATATCAGTCCATCCACAGAGATAACATTTTACATTTCACAGGCTTTGTGCTGCCTCCTCAGGAGACATTTACACACATGGTCACATCTGATTCTCACAACGAGATATCCTGAGGTGGGCAGAAGTCCCTTCTCCGGTGGCTGGCAGGGAAGATGAGGCTCAGAAAAAGGACCTAACCTAGTGTGTTAGTGACAAAGTCTAGTCTGAAAACAATCATTTCTCCAGACAATTTTCTCTAAAATTCTTACTCAAATTTACAGCCCGTGTTATCACCACTAGAACTTTTAAAATAGGAAAAAAGGATAGACATAAAATTTAATTTTGCATTTTAGAGTGCTTCAGTCAGTGGAACTCCAAAGCCACATATGATCGGCATGAGGCCCTTTCTCTTAAGTAAAGCACATTCACAGAGTGTGGGGGACACATCCGGCCACTCCCCACGGCAGCTGGTTTGTTCTGGGAGAACTGCTGCACAGGTGTTTATGGGAAATCAGTGCAAGCTCCGTGTGCTTTCCGACCAGCTCAACCCAAGCGTGCTGGTGGTCCCGTGGGCCTGCTCCTGCCACACCGCACACCACTGGCTGTCTATTATGTGCCATCCCTGATCTTGAGATCTGTTTAAAAGTATATTGGTCCTAAGAATAAAAACACAGGTAGAATCCCTTTATGCTTATTTTCAAGGCATCAAAATCATATTTGCAGTCAGCCCCCTTAAAAACACAGGCCTGTCTCTGCAATGTCCTAAGGAAGTAAGCATTTTTAATAAATCATGTGTGCAAACACTTAAGACACTGAGGAGAAGGGACAGAAGAGGGGCCTGTGTTTATTCTGTTTGCTGTCACATGATTTGAATTCAGTAATCATTCTTTAGGGAATCTCTCTGAGGATCTCAATGAAATGGGCACATTCATACCCACCGCAGGATAAATGCACACACTTTGGAAAGACATTTGGCTGTATACATCAAGAGCTGCAAACACGCTCAAACATACTAAGTCCACTCCTAGAGAATCCCTATAAGAAAACATTACCAGGGGCCGCCTGGGTGGCTCAGTCGTTAAGCGTCTGCCTTGGGCTCAGTTCATGATCCTGGGGTCCTGGGATCGAGCCCCGCATCGGGCTCCCTGCTCGGCAGGAAGCCTGCTTCTCCCTCTCCCACTCCCCCTGCTTGTGTTCCCTCTCTCGCTGTGTGTCTCTCTCTGTCAAATAAATAAATAAAATCTTAAAAAAAAAGAAAACATTACCAGGGAAAGAAGAGCCGCATTTAATGGTATAATAATAGAAAATGCCTAATATAAAGGCTACGATAAACCACAACTATGGTACAACCTCTCATGGCAAAATTATGTAGCCAGTAAGTGATAATGATGTCATAAACATGGAAAATATTTACAGACTAGTAAGTGAACAAAGCAAGGTTTACAACACTGGGACACTGGGTTCACAGCCACACACAAGTTTACATACATGAAAATGGGAAAAAGTTTTGGGTAGTGAGTTGTAGTTTACTTTTTCTCAATTTAACTTCCTATAACATTGCTTCATTACTTGGGTGATTATTAACAAGCATTTTGGATTCGGGAAGGAGAGGACACACACAGCAGCAGGTGTGTGAGGCGGGTGTGACTATTGACCCAGGGCTGCCCCCATTGGCAGAGTTCAAGTGGCACTGGGAGGAAAGCCAGCCTGTGGTGGCTGATGGGGCTCTAGAAAGCAACTTGGACCTGCCTTCCTCCCTTCGTCTTCCCAGCCGTGTTCTGCGGAGATCCTGGCGTCCCAGCCCGTGGCAGGAGAGAGGACCGAGGCTTCTCCTACAGGTCATCCATCTCCTTCTCCTGCCAGCCCCCTCTGGTGCTGGTGGGCTCTCCACGGAGGTTTTGCCAGTCGGATGGGACGTGGAGTGGTACCCAGCCCAGCTGTATAGGTGAGAGGTGGTTTGGGGAAGAGCGTCCGAGCTGGTGGGCATCCTTCCTTCAGGCCCGAGCTTCTTAGAGCAGGGTGTGAAATTGAAATAGCCAGAGTGAGCGTGCTGCCAGGAATCACATAGTCGGCCCAGGGTTATGACTCGGGTGGAGATATTAACAGGTCGGGGAGTAGGATGTGGCTCCCATTTTTCCCTCCTACACCTATCTCTCAGAGTGAGTGGAGGCGATGAAAGCTTCTCTGACTGTGGGGTCTGTTTCTCTGTTTTGCGATCTAGACCCGACGCTGACCATGTGTGCAGACCCCGGCGTTCCACAGTTCGGGATACAGAACAATTCCCAGGGATACCAGGTAATGAGGTCAGCCAGGATCAGGCCTTCCTGCCACCTGTCCCTGTCTATCACTGTCAGCCTCAAGAGGACTCAGGGATCTTCCCAGGTACAGCACTGGGGGGAGCAAGACCTTGAAAGCTGGAGACAGAAAGTGTTCTGCGTCTTTGAACCATGCCACACTGGAGCACCCTGCAGAAACAGAGGCACTGACAGCAATCCGAGAAACTGATGCGCAAGAGATTCTCACATAGTGACAGAAACACTCCCCAGCAGCCCCCTGCAGTTGGGGCGGGCAGTTGTGGGAAGACAGAAATGAGTGAGACAGGCAACCGTCTGTCCGCACGGCACCTATATGCTCCCTGTAGACCCAGGGCTTAAAGTGGCAGGAACGAGCAAGTGCCACATGGGAGGCAGGCTCCATGGACACATCTCAGAAAGAACTTCAGAAAGAGGAAGGGATTTGGACAGCCTGGGATGGGACACTCGGAACAGAGAACAGGAAGCGGGAAAGTATGGGTGTGTTCAAGACAGGACAGTTAGCTGGAGCCTGAGATGTGCCCAGGAGAAATGGCCCATGGGGATCCAGCCAAAGAATGTGACTTATTCACTCAATCTGTATTCATGTAACAAATATTTACTGCCATAAACTTTCTAGGTGCTAGGAATGCAGTGGGAACAAGACAGGCTATGTGCCCACTCTAAGAAGGTCTCTGGCTGGTGACAGTGAACAGGATAACTTCTGAGAGCAATAAGCCCGACCCATCATCTAGTACCAAGGGGTTGTGACAGAGTGGGCTGCTATTTTAGGAAGAGCCCTCCTGAAATTGAGCTGTGGCCTCCAGTTCAAAGGGGCACCAAGGCGGGGAAGCACTTAGCAGCCTGGAGGAGTGGAAAGCAGGGGGGCCAACGAGTCCAGAGCAGTGTGAGGCGAGGAGGAGATGTAGCCAGAGAGCTAGGCGAGGTTTGAAAACAACTGGGCACTGTCTTGTAAAGTTAAATATTCACACATTCTGCAACCCAAAAGCTCCATTCCTGGAAACGAACCCCAAAGATACCCTTGCACATGTTACCGAGATCTGAGAAAAATTTTAAAGTCACGGCAGTGAGAATGAATGCAGGACAGCTCTACACAACGTGGGTGAATCTTAGAAACATAGCATCAAATGGTAAGGTGGGATGATGCTATTTCTATAAAGATTAAAACTAGGAAGGACATATGATTAATGATATATGTGCATATGTGTGATAGAATTATCTTTTAACAAAGCAAGGAAATTAAAAAACACAAAATTCAAGATAGTGCTTACCACTGAGGAGGAGCCAAGGAAGGAGGAAGGGGCAGGGAAGGAGGACGCAGAGAGTAACAACTGTGTTGCTAACATTGTAGCCCTGGAGCGCTGGGCTCAACTTAATGTGTCCAGTTTCTTTCCAGATATTCTTTTGCATGCATCAAATATTACATAATAATTTTTTAAAAAGAGAAAGCCATGGGCCAGGTCACCTGGGGCCCTTGAGGCCATGGTAAGCATTTTGGATTTTATTCTAAATGTCATAGGAAACCATCTGAAGGGGACTCTGATCCATCATTTGAATGCTGCAGAGAAAGTGAATAAGGGGGGGTTAAGACAGAGGCACCCAGACAAGTAGGACACTGTTGTCACGGCTCGGGGGAAGGGCAAGGTAGTGACAGTGACACGGAGAGAAGTGAAGGGATCAAGATGGACTGTGGAGGCAGAACCAAGAGGACGCGCTGATGGATTGGGGGGAGGGGTTGAAGAAAAGGGAGGAATCAAAACTGGCTTGAAGGTTTTGGTCTGCACACCTGTACGGACAGAGGGGCCATTGCTAAATGAGACGATGAAATTCCAGACAAAGCAGAAGGGCCTGCAGGAAGGGAGTGGAAGTCAAGAGTTTCACTTGGTGTGAAACAGGAATTTTGCTCCCGTAGGTAATAGGGACACGTGAGTGTTTTGAGCTGGGAAACAGGGACATTGGAGTTACAGCTTAGGAAGCTGCCATGCGAAGGGCAGAGGGAAAGATGGAGCCGGTGGTTGCAGGGGTGTCGTGTGGGACAGTGAGGGCTGGTGGATGGGGGGGCGGAGACACAACTGAGCAGAGGCAGAAATGGCAGCAGGGTGGTAATTCTGCCCAACAGATACTCACTAAACAAGGGCCAGGTTCTACGGGGGAGCTGTCTATAAAGAAGACAAGTCTCCCTTCCCTTAAGGAACGTGTAGACTCATAGAATAGATACACCCAAGTAATAATTCTGTGTTGGGCAGTGCTTCCCATTTTATAAAATGCTTTCAAATCCAGCACCGAGTTTGAGTGTCACGCCACTGCGCTGTAGGCGTGGCCAGGCTGGTGGTCCCCCGCTCTGCACCGGAAGACTCAGGTGTCAAGTTCCCGGCAGCCTGTCATTCCGTGAGCAAACGTCGAAGCCGGAACTCAGACCAGGGTCTTCTGTCCACCACAGCAGAGCATGCTACATCCAAGAAGAGCATTGCTCTGGCCCGGGGGCTTGGGTAAGGGCTGAGGGAAGAGGCATAAGGCTGCCTCAAAGGGTAAATAATATTTAACCAGGCAGAGAAGTGGAAGAAGGATGTTGCAGGTGGAGGCAAGGGTGTGGGTAGGAGCTGGGCGATGGGAAAGTAAGTAGTCAACTAACAAGGCATGAAGCATCACTGGATAGAAAGGGATGAAGGAAGCTTCCGTCCTCCCCGCAGGTTGGAAGCACAGTGCTCTTCCGTTGTCAGAAAGGTTACCTGCTTCAGGGTTCCACCACCAGGACCTGCCTCCCCAACCTCACCTGGAGTGGAACCCCACCCGACTGTGTCCGTAAGTGCAGACTTCCCCTGCATCCCTTGACAGTTCCTCTTGGCAACACATTATCTCCCCCACCTGGGCACCCAGGACATGCTCGAATGCTCTGACTGACAGGAAACTCATGACTTCTCCCTGGGACCAATATTGCTTTCTTTGTAGTCCCTATCGCTTGGGGCCTCACGGAAGACATTTCCACACAAAAGCCTTTCTGATATTTGAAGGCAATTCCTATGCCCTAGCGAAAAAGAAAGAACTTTCTAGTGGCAGCCAAAACTCACAACTACAAGGTCAGCCCTCAGGTTGAAAGATTTCAGGCTTTTGACCATAATTACTCCTCTTCCCCCAGGAAGAGTGCTGCAGGCCCCCCAGGGGTGACTAAGCCTGGATCCACATCATCTCCATCGTGGCCATAGGTCTAGACATCAAGGCTGGTGTCGGAGGGGAGGTTTGGGGAGGGGATGCTGGACATGAAAAGGGCCTAGAGGGGAAAGGAAGGGAACGTTCCATGTAGGAACAGGAATAGTCAAAAGGCCTCCTGAAGACCCTATTCTCCCCAGGTCCAACACTGTCTTTCCTCTCACCCAGCCCACCACTGCAAGCAGCCAGAGACGCCATCCCATGCCAACGTTGGGGCCCTGGACTTGCCCTCCATGGGCTACACACTCCTCTACTCCTGCCAGGAGGGCTTCTCCCTCAAGGGTGGCTCTGAGCACCGCACCTGCAAAGCAGATGGCAGCTGGACAGGCAAACCACCCATCTGCCTGGGTGAGTGCGCCCACTCGGCGAACCTCCCCAGGGTGGGAGACCAAAGGTGACAGCTGAGCTTGAGCAGAAGACAGCAAAAGAGAAGGAAGAAATAGGATTTCCAGGAGCTGGATCCTGCTTCTGAGTTTCTGAGGTATTGAGCCTCTAGGAAATGAAACCAGAGCAGTCCAAAGAAACACATAGTGAGGCCATCCCCAGTTTTATTTTGCTACCTTCTGCCTGGGCTTAAAGATTTCTTTATTTGAGAGAGAGAGTGTGTGTGTTTATATGTGTGTGCATGGTCTCTCTCCCTCTCTCTCTCTCAAAAAAAAAGGTAGACTTACCTTAAAAAAAGAATTGTTTTGTAGCCCATATGATCTGTCCTGGAGAATGTTCCACGTGCACTTGAGAAGAATGTGTATTCAGCTGCTGTTGGGTGGAATGTTCTGTAAGTGTCCATTAAGCCCTCTTGGTCTCAGCTCAGATCTTGCTCAGGTCTCGATCTCAGGGTCATGAGTTCAAGCCCCGCACTGGGCTCCACGCTGGGCATGGAGCCTACTTAAAAATAATAAGTAATTAAATAAATAAATAAAGCAAATAACAACTTAACTTTGAGTGCATACAACAGCTATACATTTTTACACTCCCTTCTTAAATTTTATGTTTTTGATGTCATAGTTGACATCTTTTTATACCATGTATTCATTAACAAATTATTGCAGTTCCAGTTTGGGGTTTTGTTTTGTTTTGTTTTGTTTTTAGGCTCCACACCCAGCCTGGAGCCCAATGCGAGGCTTGAACTCACAACCCTAAGTTCAAGACCTGAGCTGAGATCAAGAGTCAGATAGTTAACCTACTGAGCCACCCAGGTGCCCCTGCAGTTGTAGTTATTTTTAACACTTTTGTCTTTTAATCTTTATACTAGAGTTGTAACTGATTTACCCACCACAGTTACAATATTAGAGTATTCTGAATTTAACCATCTATCTATATCAGTGAGTTTTATAGTTTCCTATGTTTTTATATTTAGATCCTTTCCTCTACTTGAACTCCTGCTGTTAAACCATGTGTAGCTGTACATTCAGTGCGTCCATGACAGGAGGGGAATTCAGGGGCCTCCCATGTCACCATCTTGGTCCAGAGTCTCTTCGAGAGTTCTTTATATATCTAGAATATAAGACTCTTATCAGATGCAAGATTTGCACATATTTTCTCCCATTTTATGGGTTGTCTTTCACTTTCTTTTTTTAAAATTTACAAGTACTTTCTTCTTTATTTCACTCATCACCTAAAATGAAATTAGACTGCCACATTTCAAGCTCCATTTTAGTCCTGTGTTAAATTTTTTTCTTTTTTTTTTTTAAGGGAGTGTTTTTACAGCCTTATTAAGGTATAATTGATATATAAAAATGCACATATTTAATGTATACAACTTGATGAGTTTGAATCTTTTCACCTTCTTTTGGTGTCCTTTTAAGCACAAGTCTTTAATTTTAATGAACTCCAATTTATCTATGTTCATGTTTCCATATCATACCTAAGAAACCATTGCTAAATCCAAGGTCATGAAAACTTATGTCTATGGTTTTTTCTAAGATTTATAGTTCTAGCTCCCAAATTTAGGTCTTTTGTTCATTTTGTGGGGGTTTTTTGGGGGGAGGTAGTCATTTGGGGTCCAAATTCATTCTTTGCATGTGGATATCCACTTGTCCCAGCTCCATTTGTTGGAAAGACTATTCTTCACTATTCTTCATTGAATTTTCTTGGCACCCCTGTCAAAGATCATTTGACCATAAATATGTGAGCTTATATCTAGATCCTCAGCTTTATCCATTGATCTGTATAACTGCCTCTATGACATCACCACAGTTCTGATTACAATAGCTTTGTAATAAGTTTTGAAGTTGGGAAGCATACATCCTCCTTTTTGTTCTTTTTCAAGATTGTTTTAGCTCTTCTGAGCCCCTTATATTTCTATATGAACTTTAGGGTTGGATTGTGGAATTCTGCAAAACAGACAGCTGGGATTTTGACAGGGATTGCAGTAAATCTGTAGGTCAGTTTGGGGAATGTTGCCATCTGAACAGTATTAAGTCTTCCAATCCATGAGCAGGGGATGTCTTTCCATTTATTTAGATCTTTAATTCCTTCTAAAACGATGGTTTGTCTTTGTCATTATACACGTCTTGCACTTCTTGGTCACATTTGGTCTTAAGTGTTTTATTGTTTTTGATGCTATTATGTACTTGTCTATAAAAGTACAAAATGCTTTAGATGCAGTTGAATTTCAATTCATCCCCTTACTGTGTGATCTTTGGCAAGCCTCTTCACTTCTCTGCCTCTTAATGAGTTTCTCTTCTATAAAATGGAGATAGTAATCTGTACCTCACAGTTCTGAGAGCAGGAGTAAATGAAATAATGTGAATAACGTGGCCTAGCACAGCTCTTGGCCTATAAGCTTTCTCCCTCTTACGTCCTTCATCTTATAAAACCTAAGACAATAAAGGCATTTTCTTCATAAAAGTACTTTGACTGAGACACTGGAAAATTTCTCCACAGCCTTCTGTACATAAGTTGCCCTCCAGAGTTGGTAGGATTGTGCTCAAAAATCTAGCCTCCTCAAGGAGATAGAAGGGAGAGTCTGCCCTTCCTTGGTGATGAGGCAGATATTTCTGTTCTTTCTGTGCAAAAGAAGAAAAGACATTAACAATGGCTGACTGTGACCTTCATGTTCACAACCTCATTTATTCAGCGTAGACCTGTGAGGTATGTTTCAGTATTTTCCCATAATTCCAATGAGGAGATGGAGACTCTGAGGGGTAAAGGGACTGATCCAGGTCACACATCACGAAGTAGCACTGCTGGGACCTGAACTTACACTGTCTGGCTCAGGCCCAGAGCTTGTGACTTTGCCTGTGAGGGCTTCTCAGTCTTTTTTACTCCCCACACACAAGTGCTTTATTGAATTCAGCTATAGACTGATGTGTATAGACACTGCTATGAAAGGGGTGAGAGCCTCAGACCATGGGCAGCTACTAGCAGCCTCCATAACATTTTACGGTCTCTGAAATTGCGTGGAGAATCATCAGTGAGCCAGTGGCAAAAGTAATGGTGAACGTAATGATCAGAAGGAGGCCCAACACCAGGGCCCAGATGTTCAGTCACTTGGCAGCAGGGATGTAGGCCAGGGGCCCAGTCACGTCGCCTGCCATCTTCAGCTCCCTAGGCTTCACAGAGTAGGCGAAGGCCAGGAAGCCCAGACTGTGTTGAACAGGGACCGGATGATGTGAGCTTATATCTGGATCCTCAGCTCTGTCCAGCTGTATAATTGCCTCTATAACATCACCACAGAGGTCTTGCTGTGGATATCAACCATGGTGGTCATCAGAGGAGCCAAGCCCTGGGTACCCCAAGTACATCCCACCCGTGCTCCTCCTTGAGCATCTCCTAGGTTGGGTGGGATGCTGGTGTGGACGCCAGAGAAAACGCGCTGGGAATTATGGTTCATGGTGCAAGACGGAGCAGCTGTTGCGAGCTTCTCAGTCTTAATATCATCACTCCAAGGGAAGGGAGCATACCACTCAAACTCCCACCAGGCCTCAAGGAGTTCACTCTTGATTGTTGGAAGGTCCGCCTTCGTGCCAGGCATCTGGGAGAAAAGCAGAGTCTGGGACAAGGCTTTTCAACCTAGGGTCATCAATAGGGGCATTCGGCAGATCTAGGTACAAGGGTGGCAGAAGAGACAGCTTTATTGTCCTTTACCTCTTGCTGAAATTTAGCATTTCCTTTAATTTGAAATGTAGACAAAAACCTATAGATATAATGTTAACAATACCTATGACTTTGTCACCAGTAAAAATTACAGAGATTTTCATATTATATTGCAGTTGTTACTGGTATCATGAAATATTGCTGACTACTTCAAGGATATGGTAGTGACTGGACCTGCTATTAGATTCTGTTATTTAATGCAGTAATAAAGAATCACATATCTACCTGCATCCTAATGCTTTGTTTAATATGTCAATGACTATAATTGATAAAACGGATTTCCTTTTAACTCATTGTTTTATTATTCCAAGAGGGGTCCATAGCATCACCAGACAATCAAAGTATCCACTCCCAATTTAAGAGGGTAAGTCCAAAGCAAGATCTCAGAGAACCCATTGACCTAGTGTCCGAGAGGTGGCCATTATTTTTCCAATAGAGTGTAGACCAGAGGCTGAACCTGTGTTCTTCCATTCTCTTTCCCCAGCAGAGGTCCGGCCTAGTGGGAGACCCATCAACACTGCCCGGGAGCCACCACTCACCCAAGCTTCTGGTAGGTATGGTCCAGATCTTTGGCTCAAGAAACTGGTGTTGATTCCTTCACCTAGTTACCCAGAAACATGCACATGACTTTCCGAGTACTCAGTGAAAGGGTGTGAAAACTGTCTACAGAGCCAAACAGATTCCTCCACCCACTACCCACCCCTGACAAACTTCAGGAGGAAGTGAGCCTGAAGGAAACAGAAACCTCATCCAGAAGAGAGAGCCAAAGCCTTCCAGAAACACATCCAGACCTTCGAGCTCAGGAGCCATTGTTTACCACAACCCGCGCCCCCCCCCCCCCCCGCCAGCACAGGACTGGCCAGTGTGTAGTCATACAGACACAGAGATCCAAGTCCTGCCCAGGGAGCTTCCTGGAAACAGTTACTTTTTTAACACAGGTATTGTTTCTTTCAAAGTGCAATGTCCAGAACTGGGCACATAACTACAGGTGTGGCCCAACCGATGCGAAATTATTGTGGACTATCGTATCCTTTTTTGAACTTTATACTTTTATTCATCACATTAGCATGTGTGTTATATAAGAAGGAAACTAGAGTTGGCATCATACTCAGTTCAAGTTCCATTTTGGATCACAGGAGGACCGGAGCACTCCACCATCCTCTCCCGAGTTAGGCTTTGGAGAAAGCAATCTCAGTGAGTGAACTGGGATCAGCCATCAGGTGGCCTCAGTCCCTCTCACATCTGTTTCTCACTTCCTCCAGTTCCTGGGGATGTTTTTGCCAAGAACTCCCTATGGAAAGGAGCCTATGAGTACCAGGGGAAGAAGCAGCCGGCCATGCTCAGAGTGACTGGCTTCCAGGTTGTGAACAGCAAGGTCAACGCCACCATGATTGACCACAGTGGCGTGGAGGTGCACTTGGCTGGTAAGGAGTAGGCCACCCCCGTGAAAGCCTGGGTGTGATAGGGGTGAGCGGGCACACGCCCTCTACAAGGACAAGTCTACTGTCATTGCATCCTCATGTCCTGGGGGGACTTGTCTGAGGGGCAGGAGGAGGAGAAATTGTTCATCTTTGTTTGCATGATAAAATCACCAGGGTCTAAAAGGAAATGGTTAGATGATAAACAATAACGTGAACTGAAAAGGACTCTTAAATAAAGAGAAAAGAGACCAAAATCCCTAAAACTGAACCAAAAATAGGGACAGAGAATTCCCAGAAGCCAAAATACAGTCAATAAACAAAAGAAAAAATATTTTTCAGCAATAATCAAAAAACTAAAAGTACACAGAAAATGTCATTTTCCACTTATCCCACTAAGATTTTTTTTTTAAGTGATAAACTTTAGTGCTGGTCAAGGTCCAGTGAAGGCACTGATGCAGTTGATGGTCAAAGTGTAAAATAGTACAGTTCTAGAAAACAGTTTGGCAATTTGTGTTAAGATCTTTGAAAATTATTGAACCCATTAATCATATTTCTAAGAATTTTTATCATAAAAAATAACTATGAAGGGAGTGAAACATTCCTGAATAAAAGATGTTGGTATTACAGGGCTATTTCTATTACATAAAAACTGGAAAGAGAAAATTGTCCAAAAATAACAAAATGAATATATTAATTATAGTACATCTGATAGATAAAATAGTATGCCAATTTGGGGGCAAATGGACCTACCTACCATAGTGCATTTACAATGTGACTCCAGTTTTTAAAGGAAAAATTATAAGAAAGAAAATCGGGGGGGTACCTGGGTGGTTCAGTTGGTTAAGCATCTGACTTCGGCTCAGGTCATGATTCCAGGGTCCTGGGATGGAACCCTGCCCCTAACCCTAGCCCTGCTCAGTGGGGAGTCTTCTTCTCCTTCTCCCTCTGCAGCTCCCCCACTCGTGCACTCTCTCTTGCTCTCTATGTCTCTCAAGTAAATAAAATCTTTAAAAAAGAAAGAAAATTGGAAATAATTCCACCAAAAGTTTAACAGTGGCTATTTCTTAGTGATATCGGAAATGATTTCTTTTTTCTTCCTGCATCTCTGCCTTTCCCACAATTTCCCCAATTTTCAATCTTTTTATAATCAGAAAAACTAAATCTCTCAGAAAACAAACGTTTCTGGAAGAGATGGACAGGTAAAGGAACGCACGAGTGAATGGATGTAGACATTAATACAAGGCCCACATACAGTCGTACCCGCTCATCCATGCGAGCGCACACACACGCACAGCTGAACGGTCGGGTTCCCCATTCGCTCGAAGGCAGGGTAGTAAAGACATCACAGAAGCCCACGTACATGCCTCCTGCATTCCCGCGCCCACGGAATCATAAAGCATATTCATGCGTTAACTGACACATTCACGTATGCAAAATCACATTCACTTTATTCCGACACATGCATGCGTTAAAAGGGTCACAAACACAGGTCAGTGATCCAGTTGTCTGTAACACACATGCACACACTTGTGTATCCTCACAGCGCACACAATCTCACAGGCCAAACTACGCTTACCTACTGGCAGTCATGCATGCCATGTTTACATCAACATCGACACGTGAAATTCCACGTACCCGCAAATTTGGGCTTGGAGATTTTTCCAGATCTTTAGTATACTGTCTGAACTCTCTTTTCCCAGGAATTTACAAGAAAGAAGATTTCCATCTCCTGCTCCAGGTTTACCAGATTACAGGGCCTGTGGAGATCTTTGTGAACAAATTCAAAGACCGCTGGGCTTTGGATGGGCATGTAAGTGCTGCCAAATCTCAGTCCTTGACCTCCCTGTGCCCTTGCCCTGCCCCTGATTCCCAGATCACAGGCAGGGAAGGGGGGAGAGAGAGTGGAGATGCGTAGGATCAACATGGAAACTTGGAAGGTTTACTTGGGGGCCAGGACTGGGATCAAGGGAATCCTCATCTGCTAGTGAAATAGGTAAAGGAAAAGATACAGGGGCCAGGAGGCGGAGTGTCCGGAAGGCCAGCACATCTGAGTGATATGGAGTAGGGTCTGATGTTCGAGCAGAAAGCAAGGAACCCGAACAGCTGTGTAAGAGTGAATCCAAGCAAGCTGGAGGTAATGGTGTGATGCTGGGATATGGGAAAAGGTCCCAGGTGACTACTTCAAATATCCACTCACAATTGAGGATGCAGATTACAGATGATTTAGCACAGCTTGAGAGACCAAGACACAGGGGAGGAGATACGGCCTTCTTGCCTTCCCGTGTGGGAAAGCCTAACTACATTCTAGGGCATTCTTAAGGCAGAAGGCAGATCCACAGTGATGCTTCTCTGCCCGCACCTTCCAATTTCACAGAGGAGGGGGAGAATTGAACATAGTGTCCGGTATCTCACCTGTGGCTTCCCTGTCTCGGATTGTTGATGCTGGACATGGAAGGGTGGGAAGGAGGGAGAGGTCATGGTGGCCAGAGTAGCTGAGGAGTCAGAGTGCATCCGCAGGGACAAGACAGATGAGCCAAGAAGACTTACGTCCCCAACTACCTCCTCAAATTAGTAGCTATTGGAACTGTGATGAACCGTCCAAAGTATGTTAAATCTGCTGGGTACACTTTAATCACAGCTCGGTGGTTCCAGGGGCTCTTGACGGTCATTTTCATCACAGTGATAATGGCTAACAGTTCTCTAGGCCCAGAAGTGGTCTAAGTGCCTTCTCTGCGTGAGCTCAAGCAGGCCTCGCCACCACCCTGTGCACAGGTACTGTTGTTAGTCCTGCCTGGCAAATGGGAGGCCCACACAGATGAAGTGATGGGACAGTAGACGATGAGGCACCTCCCCACCTCCCAGGAGCACCTGGTGGGCCGCCCCACCTCCAGCACCACAGTCCCGGGGTACCCCAGAGTCTGACAGCCCGCACCAGGAGGGCGTGCGGCTTCACCTGGCCATGCCCCCATCTCACCGCCTCTGCTCTCACCTCCGCAGGTCTCGTCAGAGTCCCCCGGAGGCACCTTCATCTACCAAGGCTCGGTCAAGGGCCAAGGCTTTGGGCAGTTCGGCTTTCAAAGACTTGGTAACTAGCATTTGTCCCCGGGAAGGGAGACACTTGTGTGCAGGGGTGGGGGGTAGAGGAGTGAAGTGCAACAGCCAAATCCAGGGGTTCTTAACACATTTGGGGGTCACAGCTGCCTTTGAGATTCTTTTTTTTTTTTAAGATTTTATTTATTTATTTGACAGAGACATAGCAAGAGAGGGAACACAAGCAGGGGGAGTGGGAGAGGGAGAAACAGGCTTCCCGCAGAGCAGGGAGCCCGATGTGGGACTCGACCCCAGGACCCTGGGATCATGACCTGAGCCGAAGGCAGACACTTAATGACTGAGCCACCCAGGCACCCCGGCCTTTGAGATTCTGATCAAGGCTATGGAATATGTCCCCCAGAAACAAGCACATACACATGACAGGCTCGACCTTTGCCAAACAGTTTCATGGCCAGGCCTGGAGTTGAGAGCCCCGGCGTACGGGACGTTGGGTCTCAAATACGGCCCCCAGCAACACCAGCCAGTCAGCCCTTGGGCACCACCCAGACACCCTGAAGCATGCAGATGTGGGGTTCTTAGGGGTGCCTTTAACTCACATTGTCCTTCCCTCCCCGAGCAGTCCCGGAAGGTGGCTCTTCCCTGGCATCTTTACCCTACCTGCTACAGTCATCGGCATCCAGTCTCCTCCCTTCAGAGATTGACCTTGACCCAGAGCCTCAAACCCTAGTCCAGGGAGGGCCCCTGGTTTCTCCGAGGCGGTGGGAGGGGAGACAGGAGGCAGTCAGGGGTGCTCAAGAGCCAGCACTATGCACCCGGCTGCTGACACCACCATGCCCAGGAGCCCTGCCTGCATTTTCTCGCAGCTCTGACCTTCAGGAAGCTTCTCCTTGTCTTAGTGAAAATCTGCTTCCCTGTCATTCCCACTCTCCTCCCCTAGGGGAGTTCTTAGCTCGCCCTTGTGAGGAGCATGGAGTAAGACCTCTCTTCCTGACAGCAGCCCTTCAAGTACTTGAAGACAGTTCCCTTGGCCCCTCAGCCTGACACACTAGACAGAACTCAGAAACTGAAGTTCTCGATTCTGGCTTCTCAACTGACTCCCTGTGCTCCGGGGCAGGCCTGTCCCCTCTTGGAGCCTCCACCCTGGTGGGGTGGGCCACTTAGCAGGCTGCAGGTCTCCCTGCGCTCCTCTGAGCCCGCCCGCCCAGCCTGGTGCCAGGAGGACCACAGGAGGAGCTGGAGGGAGACCCCCCCCACCCAGGCTGCTCACACCTCCTCTCCCACACCACCCCCCCCCCAGCAGGCCCACCCCACCTGTTTTGTATTTTGGCTTCCTCTTACGGTTTTACCTGATAAAAGGCTTCTGTGGCCAAAAGAAGTTTCAAAACTTCTGAAGGCAGCACCCTCTGAAGATTTTAGCCTGTGACAGGTTTTAGGTTCTCCCGCAGATTGGCTCCCCAGGGACTGGGGGCGGGGGAAGGCAGCTGGCTCGGGGTCTGGGCTGCAGGACATGACCTCCCTGCTCGAGGCCGCACCGCCCCCCGGGGGGCTGTCCCCTCACATAGCTGGGTCTCTGTGACCTGAGGTTTCTGCTTCTGCGACTTTGCAGACCTCAGGCTGCTGGAGTCCGACCCCGAGTCCATCGGCCGCCACTTTGCTTCCAACAGCAGCTCGGTGGCCGCTGCAATCCTGGTGCCTTTCATCGCCCTCATCATCGCGGGCTTTGTGCTCTATCTCTACAAGCACAGGTACCGCAGGGAGGGCGGCGGGGGCGGAGGGGAGAGGGGGGCCTGGAGGGGGTCGGGCCCCATCCCCGACCCCAGGCCACAGCCTTCCTGGGGCCTTCTGAAAGGAAGACACAACCTCCCGTTCCCTCCCTCTCCCCCTTCAGATCCTGAGTCAGTCTCTCGCGCTCTCTCTCTCTCTCTCTCTCTCTCTCTCTCTCTCTCTCTCGCTTGCTCTCTTATTCCCAGGAGAAGACCCAAAGTCCCGTTCAATGGCTATGCTGGCCATGAAAACACAAATGTCCGGGCCACATTCGAGAACCCAATGTACGACCGCAACATCCAGCCCACAGACATCATGGCCACCGAGGCGGAGTTCACAGTCAGTACGGTGTGTACAGCGGTATAGCCCCCAGGCCTGGCTGCCACCGCCGCCACCGAGAGCCCCGCCTCCGGCAGCCGGTGAGACACGCGTGCGCGGGGGGCGGGGGGGGGACAGCCCCGCCCACAGCCGGGGGGGGCGGGGCGGGGCGGGGGCCAGACCGCGCGCTGAGTACCGCTGTGTGCCGGGCGCTGAGCTAGGGACGGCCCCCCTGCGAGGTGGGTACTGTTGTTATCCGCATTCAGTGGGAAAACTGAGGTACAGGAAAAGAATGAACTCGACCAAGATCACGTGGCTAGTAAGTAGCAGGGGCAGAATCCAGTCTCAGTTCCAGGCAGCCTGACTCCAGAGACTGACTCCAAAGGCTCCTAGCCTTTGGGCTTGGCAAAATATCCGAGTAGAATGTGGCAGTCAGGTCTCTCCGGTGCATGTGTGTACACATAATACATGCATGAAGTCCACATACCATGCATATATGTCTACATCTCCATATAGACAACTGCATATCTGTGTCCATACAGGAAGATGTATGCATCAGTGTGTCTAGATGTATAGAGCTATCCATCTGGAGAGATGGATATACATATGTATGTACTGTATGTATACCCAGAGAGAGAGGTGGGGGGAGAGATTTAGTTTAAGGAATTGGTTCACATGATTGTGGTGCTGGAAAGTCTAAAGTCTACAGGGCAGGCCTGCAGGCTGGAAATTCCATCAGAGGTTGATTTCATCTTGATCCAAAGGCCATCTGGAGGCAGAATTCCTTCCTCCTCAGGGACCTTAATTTTTCTCCTCAGGCCTTCAACTGATTGGATGAGGCCCACCTCCGTGGGGTGGGTAATCTGCTTTACTCAAAGTCTACTGATTTAAGTGTTAACACACCTAAAAAATTCCTTCACAGTAACATCTAGACCTGTGTTTGACCAACTAGTGTCTGACCAGAGCCTTGTCAAGTTGACATGTCAAATTAGCCATCACCTAGAGCATGGTAGATGGTTGACACAATCCCTGCCTGTCTCCGATTCTCCCCTCCCTCCTTTGAGTCCACTTCCTCCTCTAGATTATTTCTCTGGCTTAAGTCTAAGCTTAAAATTGTAGGCATTAAGATAATTTATACATAAAGAGATAAAAATTATTTTCAGAATATACAAAGGCAACCATTGAACACAATTAACTTATTGAGACTTTCCACACCCTTTGACATCCATCTGAAACAAACATTTAAAGAAGGATGAGAAATTATTCCAGAATTCCATACTTAGTTCTGAGGTTTCATCTTTATGATCCGTCTGTACTTTTTCCTACTCAGAACTCGTACAAATAGAAAGCAAAAAAGAAAAAGGAAAAATCCCCTCTGATGACATAAATCAGTCCTTATGGGTGATCAGTAATGACTCTGAACTTCCGAGTTGCTGAATTACCGAACAGTATAAGAGAGAAATCAGAATGCCCCCTGATCTGCATCACGCCCCTCCCCAACCCCCGCTCCTCATTTCGGGCTCCATTGGGTCCCCACACCTGTGTGCATATGTATCACCTCCAGGTCACGTGCAGTTGGTGTCTCCAAGTCTAAGAGCCCCCAGCATTGTCTGTCATCAGCATTCAGGGCTTTGGAATATTCCACCCAGGCCACAGCCCTCCAGTGAGGCTCCCCTGGAAAGGGGCCCACCATGCCCTGCCCAGAGCAGGAGCACAAAGAAAACACAGAGAAAGCGTTGTTGACTCAGGGAGGGGATGTGTGAAGAACTACCCTGAACACACACACGTAGGTTTAAAATGAATAATTAGGTGATAAATTCAAATGATGCCTAACAAGAACAGCTGAAATTAAAATAAGAACCCGAAACAGGAAAATCATGGAGACCTGTGGGGTCAGTGAGTCAGGGAGCAGAACTGTGGTATGGCTCTCATGGGCCTTTTCCTCCATTAAAAAAAAATATATTAAACATGATAGTGGACAACTGTGTTGTTATAAAGATGAATATAATCCAGTCTGGACACATTATTGTATGCCCATTATTGTCATATTCATATTTTTTCCTTCCGATTTTGAAAGAAACTAAAGTTAAACCATTTTCCTACACCCCTAAAAGTGTGGTGGCCCCTAAGCATTGGGTCTCTTGTGCCTAATGGATAAGCTGATACTGCCAGGAGAAAAAAGACAACATTGGGAGAATGTGTGTCCTGCTGTGTGTGTCCCCCACCTACACCCCATCCTCAAGATCAAGGCTACTAATCTACTTCTTTCCCCTTTATCCCTCTCTGCTTTGCCTCTTTTCCTCTCAATGGCTCCTGCTCCCTGCCCCGCCCCCCCTGCCTCTCTTGTTTACCATCTCTGGTGCCATCTGTCCGTCCCTGGTTCTCCGGGGACAGGCCGAGAGCCCCCTGAGCACAGCGCCTGGTGCCCATCTTCGTCCGTCTCTCTGCTGCCTGTGTCTGCTACGGCTGGGACTCGGGCCCTCGCCCCGCCACCATCTGCACCTGCCACCCCAGAGAAGACGCCCAGTGGGCCCCGACTTTGGACAGTAAAGGAAGAGGGGGCTGCAGATGGAAGAAGGAAGCTTACAGATTTAAAATAGCAAAGCATCTTGTGGACGTGCCCGTGTGTGTACGGGCCCGAGTGCACACAAACGCACACGCCTCTCCTTCATTTGAGTCTATGGAAGACACCACAGAAGCTTAAGAAAGAAAGAGAGATGTGTGTGAAAGATGCCCCATGCCCTGCCCCCCGCACACACGGAGAAGGGGTGAAGGGGAGGACGCCGGGTCCACACTGAAACCGACACGCCCCGTCTGCCCCGTGTGTGAGGACCGGTGAATGTGTCAGCAGGTGCCCAATGTGCAGGAAGCAGCTGTCTGCCAGTGGACGTCCTCATCTGCAGGGTGACAGCAAGGAGTACCCCAAGGGCAGAAAAACATCTGAAGAAGTACTATAGAAAGCAGATTATTTTTTCCAACAGAATTTTATTGAGTTCTAAGCGCAGTAAGTTAAAAAAGTCATTCCGGGTCCCGGGAACCACTGGAAAAGAAGGGTGAGTTTGGGGGGAGGGACGACAAGAATCGGTCCTTGGGTCCAAGGTCAAGTCTGGCTGTCAACTGACAAGGAGAAAAGAAGCAAGTCAGTGGCCCAGACAGAGGTGGCCAAGGCTGCAGGCATCGGGAAGGGGCTGGTACAGGAGGGCAAGCCTAGCCCAGTGTCCAAAAAGTAATGGCTGCCATGTGCTGAGTTTCTTCTCTGTGCCTGACACTTTCAGTGTATCATTTCTAGACCTTACAACACCCAAAATATAGGAATTATCGTTCTTGTCTTATAAACGAGAAAACCAAAGCCCGGAAAGGTTGAAGAGACGTAAGCCACACAGTAAGTGTGCAGTCAAGATGCTAACCCAGATGGGTCTGACTCCAAAGTCCACGACACCAGCTGCCAGACACCCAGGTCTAATGGGGCACCAAATAAAGGGGGGAGTAGGTGCATCTCTGTAGCAGAGCTGTGGCCAGGGCTGGTGCGCCAGGCAGGGGACCTGTGTGTCCCAGCTGGGCTCTGTTCTCTCCACCTGGGCAGCGTCAGGGAAAGGACCCAGTACCCAGGCCTCCTGGAGTCGGCGCTGGCCCCTTGGCTCTGAGCAGCCCCTCGCTACAGCAGACAGAGAACCCGAGCGCTCCTGAATCAAAAGAATGGAGTGAATGAAAGTCACATTCTCTCCAGTTCCTCGCAAGTCGGCTTGATTCATTTTGAGTTCCATCGTCCTTGGGTCATTATTGAATTCCATATACGTATTGTCGGGACGCTAACAAGTTTAGGGATCAAACGGTGGCATTTAGAGCTGTTTTCTCTCTCCTCGGGAAGGTCCCCCTGGGCTTAAGCACCTGTGCACATGTGACATGCTGTCCTAAGATGTTCATATCACACAATTGAAATAACGAATAGAAATGTAAGGGAGTGGAATGGCAGGGACACCCGGTTCTTAAGCAAATAGTGATCTGCCTAATGTTAAGATGGGCTGGAGTACAGTGACAGGTGGTCAGTTTCCAGCAGATGGGACTGGGACCCGCAATGGCAGGAGCCCACAGCCGCCCACACCTGCTCCGGGTCACCACATCCCTGGGCTTGGCGGGAGAGGACCAGCCCAAACACACACACTCACGCGCTCATCTCTCTTTCCCTGGAAACAAATGCAGGAGGTTCTTTGGCTGCATCCTTTCCCTGTTCTTCACTCCTCCCAGACCATGCAGTGGACTCCTCCTCCAGCCCTGCTCCACCCCCTCCCCTGTGTCCCCTTGTGAAGTCCCAGGAGACGCCCAAGGAGCACATGCCGGTGGGGCACCCAGCACTCTGCTGTGCATCACCCATGCCCACCTCTGGCATTTTCACACCACCTCCAGAGGCTCGGAAGGAACCGGCGCAGACTAAGGCTTTCACTCACCGTCCACACCATATACCCACCACCATCCCATGAGGAAAAAAAAAAAAAAAAAAGTAAAACAAAAAAAAAATCTTTTGTACAGAGATATATTTTTATTATACAAAGTTTGTACAGTACCAAAAAAGAAAAAAAGGTGTAAATTTTTTTTTTCATTATTGTAGGTAAACGGTAGTGGAAGCCTTTTTTGTAAATGTAATAAAATGTATAAATATGGTTTTCAGAAAACATCAAGTACTGTAAATATGTAATTTACACACCTTCTTGGCTTGTCTGCGGTATATACATTTAATTTATCTGTCTCTGTATATGAGGCTTCCCCTGGGGTCCTGCATTATGGTACTTTCCTGAATTTGAAAGCAATTTTAAATTTTTTGAATTCAAATAAAATATAAATTTTTGCATTGGTTTCTTACATTTTAATGGCCTTTTTCGTGGCTAGGGGCAAGTGTTTCCTGGGGAAGGGGAGGAAAGACATATTTTGGGCCAGAAGCCAAGAGTGGAAATGTGGAAATCTACCACAGACAAAAATTAACACAAAAGGGAGTACATACCTAAACATAAGACCTAAAATATAAAAATCTTACAAGGAAGCATAGGGGAAAG